GACATGTTGGCTCGTATATTCTTCTGAAGGAGCATAAATAGTGTCCAGGAAGTGATGCCAGGCCTACAGATACAAATCAGTGAATACAGGAGAGAGACTTTCTGGGCTGGCTGCTCCACAGACCCTCAAGATCTGAGTGAGGCTGGGTTTTCTCTGGACATATGCTAGAGAACTACAGAAGTGTAGGAAAAATGTCAGGGAACCATGCCAGGAAGAAAAAAGAACAGAGTAAAAAGAAAAGAGGTCCCCTTTGAAATAACGTAAAATAACACAAATTGGAGCTTCAGGGGGCCACACTAGTATAAAGGTTCTTCATATTAGTTTAGATTTCCAGCCACTCTGGGAAGAGTTAAGATGTTCTAGAAACAGTCTACCCCAGGAAAATGCACGAAGCACTTGGTCCAAAGTAAGTATCATTGTTTTCATAGCAAATTTAAGTTCAAAAGCAATGATATATGGCTTGGTCACATTAGAGACAAATTAGAAAATTTCTTGACAACATTTCAAAGTCTGCACAGAACCAAGCCAACTTTAGACTACTCTATGGTAAAAGGGTTTACATTACTGTAATTATAAGTGAAAACAGAAATAAAAATAAAAATAAGTACTTGAAAAGTACAGAGCACAACTGGTATAAAATGTATTTTCACCCTTTGACAAAAATGAATTTTGCCCGTATTTTGCAACAAACATTGAACAGTAGATATAAAATGTTACGTTTGAGGATAAAATGAGTAACACGGGGGGGAAACAGGATGGTGAAATAATACATACTTGAGAAATGGTATATGCTCAATACTAAGTTTCACTCTAAAAAACACTGAAACAAGGATTGTAAACCCTTGAGTAATACCAAATTGTCTGCTCAACACTGTGAGTCAAATCAGTTTATCAAGGCTTAAAAATCAACTCCAAAATACTGGCTAAAGTTTCAACAAAGTATGTGTGCGAACGAACTGTCTATGTTAAGATAATGCCTGCCATGTAAGAGTAGTATTTGTTTTCTTTTTTTCTCACGCTCCCCCTGTGGTATTTGTTTTCTTAATGGTCAAATTAACAGCCAAGTAGTTTTTACCTTACAAAAAATGACTTTTATCTAATCAAAAGAAAAGTAACACAAGCAACCACAGAAGCATGACACATGACCCTTATTCTACTGTATGAAGTATCCACAGATCCATTCGGGGGGGGGGGGGGAGCAGTGGAGGGCATGAGACATTTTCTCTGCTGTGGAAGCAAAGACTGCATCCTCTGACTCTAGCTCTTAGTTCCCTTCCCTGATTAACCCCAGAGCCTTGTGCGTGCTGGGCAAGCATTCTGTCACTGAGTGACATGTTCACTCCACATCTGAGCCAAATTCCACAAAGGCTCCCAGAAAATATTTTTAAAGGAATGATTTAAGGAAAAAAGGTAAAATATGGGATAGTGCAATGGTTTGGCTGGTAAAGGGCTTGCCAGGAAAGCCTGATCCTGAGTGAGTTCATTCCCTGAGTCCATCTAATAAGGGACACAGAACTGGCTCTGTAAAGTTGGTCACTGACCTACACACATGCCTTGGTATTTGTACCTCATATACATATCATACACACACAATAATAATATATAAATACTTAAGAAAGCAAAGTGTAACTGTGGTACTGGGTTATTTTAAGTCTATGTATAACCAATTCCTAATTTTAAAAACAATGGGACATTATTTTCCTTAAAAGTTATTTGAGAAGCTTCTAAACTTATTTCACTGGAATAGGTATAAGTTGTAAACTGGAAACAAAATACCTGTCTACAACAAGAGAGTTTCTTTAGAGTTGCTAGAAGTTACAGTCAACTCTTGCCCACATAGTACCATAAGACAGTAAAAACAAACAAAGGGTTTGCTACACAGGCTAGAGAATGAAACACTCATAAAACCCAAGATGAGGAGGAAGAGGTGGGGAGCAGAGGCTGACAAGAGTACTGGGGATGGGTATTTCAGTCTGACAGCAATGGAGGGTGGAGAACATGAGATTTCTGAGATGAGGGACCACTGATGGACCTTGAAACCACTTTTACAGAGCATAATGACATCAGCTGAGGCACCTTCTGGAGGCACTTGAACCACAGAACATCTGGGTGAGAAAAAACACTTGGTGATTAAAAAACAGGCCGGCTAGCAATATTACTCACATCAGGCACTGTGTTTTTTTCTGAGTCAGAGTTTGGGTCATGTAAAAGTAAAAGTGGCCCCAGAGAGGAGGAGAGTCTCTCACAGTTTGCCATTTAAACCTCCAATGACCATGTTTCACAGCAGGTTCAATATATTCCAGCATGTAACTGCATTTTAATTTCCTAAAACCACAGGACATAAATGTGATTTCAAATAGTGTCTGGATTGTGATATTCAATATTGATAAAACTATACAATATCCTCTTCAAAGTTCCAAAGACACAACACATGGAAAGTGCTCTTCATTTGTTTGAAAGCACTATTCTCAAAGAAGTTTATTCAGACTGGAATGAATTCTAAACAATGAATAGTTAACAGCTAGAGTGTCTGCCCTGAGGAACTGAACCCAGTAGAACACAGGAAATAACATGTATGTGTCCATCACTCATCAGTATAAGTGTCTTTTTGAGAACAGTAAATAATGCAAGACCAAACTGTTTTTGCCATAAAATGCTTATTAGCAGTTGTTTGGGAAAGGCATTTTAAAATCTATAAACTCAATGAGTATTTACTTGCATGGCCATCTCATTCTCATGCATGGAAATGACTCAATCACCTTTTCAACTTCACAAAACATGGAGAACCTATGGTCTCTTGTATTTCCAAGTAACCTTTAAACTAGATTTAAGAAAGAGAGGAAGTAAAGTTGTGTCTTAAGTTTGAGAGCCAGAAATAAATTTAAGAACACAGTACTATTCTTATTTAGTGAATATGAAATAATTCAACAAAATGGTCAACAGCTTTCATCATAAGCTACTGATCTGGAGGAAGGCAAAGAGGAAAGTGTTTTCTAAGGCATGGACAGTGGGTAATTATGGGCTTTCCTCTTGAACACGACTGCCTTTGGCTATGGACCTCACACCAAAGCTGACTGACAAATTCAATGTTTGTTTTAAAGCAACATTATCTGTTTGATCAGTAAAGTATAACTTAGAATGAAATAATCCCATTATGATTAACAATTTAAGGTGTGGGATTTAAGTTCTGGCTAGAAAACCTGGGGCGAAGCCAGAGTGTCTGGAAAATGAGACAGCTGGGCCCCTGTGGTCACTCTTCAGATTCTAAGGTACTACCAGGGATAAGCTGTTTCACTCATGATTTCATATCAGCTTTTCAAGGTAACAAAATATATTACATATACCAACTTCATAAAAAAAAACAAAAACAACAACAACCCACTGGTGAGAAAAAACTGGTCATCTCAGAACTGAGAAATGAATGCCCTTCTTTCTTAGCCCCTCATTCGCATTTGACTTCCATTTACTCATTCCCCTCTGGAGGGCTTTCCATTTCCTCCTTCCTTCTGGATTCTAATGAAGTCTGCTCAAGCATCATCTCAGTGGCAGACTCTGGGAAGACTCAAGGCAAGTAAGCACAATTTGGAACACCCAAGGACTTCAATCTGGGGAAGCTGCACACAGTGCCATAATATAAGCCATCCCAAGAGCATCAAACTTGTGCCAATTTAAAAAGCCATGGTCCGACGCCCTGTAGACAAGAGGTGTTTTACACTTTGAGTGGTACTTAGATTCCAGGGAGGGAAACAGGACACACAATTTTTTTTTTCTTTTTGCTCAGAGAGAATGGGCAGAACAAATGAAAATAAATGCCGACAAAAGCCTCTGGCATAAATCTGATGCAACATCCTAATTTGGGTAACAAAACCAAAACAACAGGGGCAATTCTTAATACTGTGTCTGATTTTCCTCTCGTTATAACTCAGTAAGGTAGGTCTTACCATATTCTTATTAACATATATTAACTACATACAATATTAAATGTATACAATACATTATGGCATTTTTGTACATACATACAATACTTTCATCAAGCATGGAGGTCCTATTATTATCTTTTGTTTTGTTTCAGACAAGGTCTCATGTTGCTCAGTCTCACCCCAAACACACAAGAGAGCTAAGGCTGACCCTGAATGAGTGACTCCCCTGCCTTTAACTTACAATTGCTAGGGTTCTGGGCATATGTAACCACACCTCTCACACACACACACACCC